GTAGTATCAACTGCATTTTCATGTCAGGTCAGGTTTCTGGCCTAAGACATCATAAATAACCCTCGGCATGGTCCTAAAATGTCGCAATTTCGTAACGCCCTCGGTGACAAGATATTATTCACAAAAATATGAAACTTACAAGACTTACATAGTAGCTTCTCGAAGCGAGAAGCTTTACATAGTAACTTATTTCCCGCATTTTTTAACCCGCGCCCCGAAGGGGGGGGGGGCGAAACGGCCCCCCCGTCCTTTTCCGTCGATATCTCCTAAACGGCTGGAGGTATCGCCATCAAACTTTCAGGACCCCTCCGGGCACCAATTTTACATATTATGACCAAAAATCTTACAGGGGCTATGATAGGTTAGCCACAAATGACATCAGAATGACGTCATGTTCTGTAATTTTCGACCGAAAAAAACCCTTCGCGAGAAGACCTGTCAGGCCTATAGCTTTGAAGATACAGAACAATGATCAAGACATAAAAGGTGTAGAATTGACAGGGCTACAAAACTGTTATCTCGGATTTTTTAAATTTTGGGTTTTAATCCCCAAACTTAAAAAAAAAACTTTTTTTGGATTTATTAGCAAAAAAAATCATTTTTTATTTTTCGAAAAAACCGGAATATACGTGATATTACCTACCGTCTTCTATCCACATACCAAATTTCAGATCGATACCTCGCTTTTTTGCCAAGTTATAGCGAAAAAACTGTTCGAAAATGATGACGTCAAATTTTCAAACTCAATCTTTGACATCGAATTAATATCCATTAGGTATATGCAAAAATATCAACTTTGAAATTTGACCTTTTTTGACCTGACCTTGACCTGACCTTGACCTGACCTGCACCAGAAAGTGACCTAAACCGTACCTGATGGTCTTATAACCAACACCATTGAGTTGGAAATGAAAAACTGGCCATTAAACATGCATCGCACAATTTTAGTAAAGTTGGGTTCATGTGGTGACCCTTGGTGACCTTTGGTGACCTGACCTGTGACCTGACCTGGTATGACCAGTGACCTCTAATAGCAACATATGTACTAGACAACTGACGCCCTATCGCTGATTTTCAACAAAATGCGTTTTACTCGGTGTTATAGCGCATTCCCTACGGTGAAACATTTATCTTTGACCTGACCTGTGACGTCATCGGTAACCCCGAGGCCCGAGGTCAATGAAATTTGTTTTTTCTCGACAAATTTGACAGGGCTATCGAACATCGTTTGAATTTTCCGGATCCGTCCAGTAGTTTCGGAGATACGGGGGGGGGGGGAGCAAAAAATGTCTTCCCACCGCGCGGAAGGTGGCCGGGAGGCCCACCGCCTGCCGGGTTAACCCTCGCACGGGGCCTGGGGGCGTTTTTCGCCCCCCCCCTGGCGAATATTTACGATAGCTCCCGAACGCTTTGGGATAGGAAAGCGAAACTTTCAGTACCTTTTCTCCCATTAATTTGACATCTTCTGAAGTAAAAAATTTGGACCTAGCCCCCTTGATGACGTCACAAGGTTCATTTTTCTAGACCCCTGCACGGCAAACTTCGGCGTCACAGACGCAAACTTCAAATAGCTGCTAAAAATAGAGTTTTAGAGATAAAGACAAATTACGAGCCCGGTTGTGTAGCGTTTGACCTAGAGAAAAATAGAAAAATAGTTTTTGTGACCTGAGTTCAGAGGTCAGGTCAACGACCCCGAAAGGTGGTTTTAGTTTTTCGCAAATAACTTCGACAAAAATGGTCCTAGAGCTACGGCAATGGTACCATCGCATTCGCCTTGTCAAGCCACGTCGAATGATATATATATATATATATATATATATATATATATATATATATATATATATATATATATATATATATATATATATATATATATTTGCTCGGAAAAGGTCAAGTTTTATGTTGACCTCATGTAACCTCGAATGACCTCTGGTTGACCTTGAGACAAGAAAGGTCGTTTATGATGGATTTATACCCGCTGATCACGAATGTGGCATCTATTTTCCTCTAAGTCTTCATTTAGAGCTCCGGATGGCAAAATTGACTTATTTATTATTACTAACTTGAATTAGTAAAATAGCCTCTAGCAGGGATACTCTTCTGTGACCTTGACCTTTGAGCAGCCTTGTATCGTAAGATGAACCACAAATAGGGAACTGATAAGCCTCAAAACATTTCAAAACATCTTGGAAGTTATCACGCAAGATGTGCGAAAAAGTGTCAAGTTTGAGGTCAATTTTGAGCATGACCTTGACCTTAACCTTTGACTTTGAGCACATTTTCGGAATCCTCACATTCTCTTCTTTTGTTTGACACCCAATTTTGCCGGTTCGATGCAGCCTGTCGTCCTCTAGCCCTCGCCCGTAAACGGCGATCTGCCACCTTCGCCCATGCAGGGGGGTTGGTGCGACCCCCCCTTGGCGTTTGAAAACGGAGCGTCGTAGAGCTTAGCGGAAAAGACCAACGGATTGCTCTCGCCGAGATCTCGCGATTGGTGGTATATTTTTTGTTCCTAGGTCAACATTTGACCTACTTTTGACCGGTCAAAGGTCAAATTTTCGGAAAAATAGACTTTTTTTTCAACTTTCCGCGGCGATTGCGGCAAAACGGTGGGAGATATCGACTTGAAATCTTCACTATCGTGTTCCTTGATCAATTCTCTATCGTTTGGTATGTATTTCGTTTCCCTAGCTCTAAAAATGGCGCGTTGGGAGCGCCGGAAGTCGGCAAGGTCACAGTCGGCGGCAGAAATTCGAAAAATCAAAATGTAAATTTTTGAAATCTGATTGTATTTTTGGATTTGGGAGGTCCATTTGCTCCCTATAGAAGCTAATATTGCTGCATATTCCCATTGAGGTGACAAGAATTAGCAAAATAGTGGTTCGGGCGTTTTTCAAAAATAGTACCGGACGCTGTTCCTCTTGTGACGTCATAGCTCCGTGACCTGACCTGACCCGGTCAAGTTTCTTATACCATATGATAGCCAATACTTGCCCCAGCATGCATGGGAAGTTTCATCACGATCCATCAACCGATGTCCGTACCACCGGCAGGAAACCTCGGGCGTTGGCACTCAGTTTGTGAAAATCCGGCCGGAGGCTGTTCCCTTTGTGACGTCATAACTCCGTGACCTGACATGACCCGGTCAAATTTTTTCATCAAAAGATGCGCAAGGTTTGCCCCATAAGGTACCCAAAATTTGACGGCGCTGCGCGCCGCCGTTTTTGCACTATTTCCGAAAAGCCTCAGGGGGGGGTTGCACCAACCCCCCCCCCTACATGGGCGAGGGCTAGAAAGCTTACTTTGAGATCACTACACATGTGCCGGTTTTTGCCTTTAACCTTGACCTCTGACCTTGAAAATTGACCTGAGGTCAAAAATTTTAGGTGCTTTAGAATCGATTCGTAAGGACCTTTCGTTTGGCATCGCTTTTGTTTCCGTAGCTCCCTTATTTACGGAGTTAGACAGGGGGGGGGGGCGAAAACGCCCCCCCCCCCTGGGCTGCGGTGGTAGGGATTACCCCGGGGCCCGGCCGAATTAATGGTTTATTTTGCTAAGTATTTCTAGGGGAAGTGGGGTAAGACGAGCACCTTAACTTTGGAGCTATTTTTCAGCCGGCTAGAAACATCATAGAGACGGGAAACTGAGTGAAAACCTTTTTTAGACATTTTACTTCCATTTGCCAGAAGATGAGACCTAGACCTGACTCAACAAATACCTAAACTGCAGCTATTTTTGCAAAACCTTGCAAAAACCCGTCTTACCCCACCCCATTGGGTAAGACGGTCACATGGGTAGGGCAAGACGGCCAGCTTCTTTCAACGACCAGCACAGCTCGCAACAAATGCCCGAGACTAGCCGCATTGATACAGTCGCTCGTTGGTCTCAAGTGCTTCGGAAATGGCAGTATACGAGATTCGTGCAGAAGGCGTATGCTCGTATATAGGCCCTAGTTCAGAAGCCATGTAGAACCGTTTTTCACATTCATTATTCGAGGATTAACTGTGCCGAAGGAATATTGCTAACATGTTTGTGAGTAATTCGTATTCGTTTCGGGCTACACTGAGGTAAACGAATACGAATTACTATCATTTACCTGAGGAAGATTAGAAATGACACTTCGTCAATACCTGATGTTTGTGAGTATCGGAATCGAACATATTGTTATTAGAAATGCTTCTTTTTTCCAACAGCAACAAAAATATTTTCACCATTACAGACCCATTGGATTCATAGTTGCCCGCCTTACCCCAAACTCAATGTCAGAAGTTCAGCACGATTTTTCTCTGTGGACAATTTGATGCAGACAAAGCAAATCCGCGGTAAATGAACAATGTGGCATATGAGTGTACCACAAGTGATTGCGAGTTTTTAACTCTAAAGTGCTGCACACAAAAGCTTGCACAATACATTATGGATGTTTCAATGAAATGAGTGTTTTAAAGAAATCAAAATAAAATATCATCGACTGAATACAAATTCACCAGACTTCAATGGTGGTGTGTGGTGGGAAAGGCAATTCTGGTCCTAATTTTTCTCGCTCGTAGCGCTATTGGTTTGGTCTGCAGAAGGTGTGCCCGTCTTACCTACCCTGACCGGCTTACCCCACTTTTCCCTACCTATCTTTTGTGATCGCTTGTATAAGGCTGTCGGAAAGAAACGAAGCATCTATAAGATCACAAGTTTGAGGTTACCCGTTTTTTTTTTTATCAGACAACAGTTTGATGATAGTTATCTATCAGTTTCTTATGGAGCACTTAGGCTTCATTTTTACAGTTAGGAAAATTGCGATCATCAAAACAGCTACGATTTATGTCTTCAAGGTGGGTGCCTCTCGATCCATCTTGAAATGCCAAACTTTTGAATTCGGCACGCGCTGGTTGTTATATGTATCTGGATTCTGGGTGCGTAGCGGAGACGATGCAAATGCCATCGTAAAGTTTCATAACGTGTATTGACATATTATTCAACGACGTAAAAACAACACATAAAAAGCTGACACTAACACAAACACTTTGTTTCCCTTCACACACAATCCTGACCTGTCGCGGCACCAAGTCTTGCCCGTGCCCCAGCAGACGTGAAAAACGGCGCGGCGCATTGACGACGACATGCTATTACACGATGAGCACACTTTTGGAAACCCCGAAAGCTATAACATCAGTTTTGTCAGTTTCGGGTAACAAACAACTAACAGCAGCCATGAGGCGAGTCTTTTTCGGAGCTTTGAAATGCGGGAGCGCCGGTCTGGTAAATTCTTTCTCTAAAGTAGAACACTGGTTGAACTCATCAAAGCGCTTTCACATATTCTCTTCTCATCTCATTCCAAAACAATGAAGATTGTCAATCTGGGGGAATTAAAAAATAATAGAGTGCTGACTCTAACTTTCAACGTTGATTTATCCTGTAGGGCTCTTCCTCTTCTTGCACCTCAGGTTGGTGCACACGAGACCGCTCTGGCACTGCGAGTCCAGGCCGCTCTCGCAGGCGCCGTTCTCGGGGACGTTGAAGCGCTGGCACACCCCGTCGTCGTTACACCTCTGGCCTCGGGGACAGTTGTCTGGGCCGCCGCCGCCCTTCCGACACTGCCGACACTTGTCCTTGTCGCACACTCCCGAGTCGCAGTCTGAGTCGTCTTTGCACTTGTCGAGCGCCCCGGACTTCTTCACGCACCTGTTGTCCTTGCAGCGGTTCTTGCTGCCGGGGCAGTCCCTGTTTCTGGTGCACTCAACGCACTTCTTGTCTTCACACTTGAGCGGCCTGCGGCACTCTCTTGTGGACTCGCACTTCCTTCCGAAGTCGAGCAGCTCCTTGCAGTCGCCCTCTTTGAGGTCGCAGTACTCGAACTCGTTGTCGCAGTGCTGGGAGCGGCTGCAGAACACGCACACCCTGTCCCTGCTGCAGCGGTCGGTGACGCACTCGTAGTCCTTGGTGCACGGGAACTGGAACGGCCGCTTGTCCTCGCAGCGGTTGTCGGCGCTGCAGTACTGCAGCTGGGAGCACTGCAGTGAGTTCCTGCAGTCTATGCAGCGGCCCACATTGACGTCGCAGTTGTTGGACCTGCACTCGGCCGGCGAAGAGCACTCGTCGCCGAAGAGTCCGCGCGTCTTGCACTTACCCTGGCGGCAGTACTGGCCCGAGGGGCAGTCGCTGCGTTGGGCGCACTCGGCGCACTGGCCCTTGAGGCAGATGTGCGAGCGGCACTGCAGGTTGAACCAGCACTGGTCGTCGGTGTTGCCGGGCGGATTGCAGACGCCGTGTGAGCAGAACTCGCCGTGCGGGCACGGCTTCCACTGGGAGCAGGCGGCGCACGTGCCGTGCGGGCAGCTGTTGGACTCGCAGCTCTCGGGGCCCTCGCACGGGTAGCCCGGCAGAACGTACGGCTTGCAGTGGCCGTGCGCGCAGTAGAAGCCGTGCGGGCAGGGCCGCTCGGCGCCGCAGTACTCGGGCTCCGGCACCGGCGCCGGCGCCGGCACGCACACCTGAGACTCGCAGAGGTAGCCGGCGCCGCAGTGACCGGCGAACAGACACTGCACGCACTGGCCCGTCCAGCAGTAGCCGGACAGACACGGACGGTGGCTGTCGCACTCGGGGCAGCCGTAGCCCTGCGGACACGCAACCAACATTTGTGTCAGCGGGCTAGACGTCCGACGAGCGGCACAAGGCGTCACACGAGCACGGTGGTAGAGAGGCAAGATTGAAGTCGTCATACGTGACCAAAACAACCAGTATAGCGCCTTTTGGGGCGACTAACGGAGCGAGCGAGGGGGTGAGCCTTGCACGTGCAGAATTTCGAGGGGGTACCTCCAACTGACTTGTGCACGGCACCCTACTGACCAGTTTCTAGCGATGTGCCAAATTTGAGCACAATCGGCCCAGCCGTTCTCGAGATCTGGAAGCGGCACCCTGCACGTGCGCACGTGCAAAATGGGTCCCAACTGACTTGTGCACGGCACCCTACTAACCGGTCCCTAACTGTGTACCAAATTTGAGCGCAATCGGTCGAGCCGTTCTCGAGATCTGGAAACGACCCCTGCACGTGCGCACGTGCAGCAGCACCCCAACTCTGGCACATGGATATGCAGTGCCTAGTGGGTGCCTACCTACATGCCAACTTTCAGCGCAATCGGCCAAGTAGTTACCGAGATATTGCAACAATTACAAAACTGACACCTCTTCGTTTTGCACGTGGCACGTGCATAACGGGTCACCCACATGCATCGGGAATAGTCCAATACTTGGTAGAAGGAATGAAGCTACCCTACAAAATTTACCGCATGTAAATCGGTCAAGTGGTTGCTGAGATATAAGCCTCGCAAAAGCGTCCGCACGGCCGGCCGGCCGGCCGGCCGGCCGGCCGGCCGCTCATACTCAGAAATTTCCGTTAATCTAAGGAAAGACTACGCTCGCTTCGCTCGCTCCGTAATAAAATTCGATTCAGATCTAAGCGATTTGATTAAAATTATCGTGTCTTCATATCTAGCAAAGGCTTTGCACATGTTAAGCAAAATTAATCCAATTTATTTTTTATCACTTTAAGCACATTAGTTAAGAATTATCAAGGCTCCTTTTCATTCAGTAAAACAGTCGTAACCAGCTATCGGCTAACGTTCTGCACTGAGACGTCCCAAGGGCGTTGGCAGCCCCACCTATCGGGAAGCCCCGCCGACCCCTCGCGCACATCCCCTGTCTCTCACCGTGCAAGGCTCGGGGATGACGACTGACGGCGGATACTCAGGCTCCGGGATGACGACTGGCGGCGGGTGCTCGGGGACGACCACCGGCGCCGGGTGCGGTTTGATGACCACTGGCGGCGGTAGCTGAGGTTTGATGACCACTTGCGGCGGCGACGGGTGCTCGGGCTTGAGCACGATCACGGGGCTGATCTTGATGGGCCGATGGACGCGCTGCACGTGCGGCACCGTCTGCACGACGGTCGGCGCCGCGGCCACGACTGGCGTCTCCACCTCCTTCTCGGCCGGGTAGCCGAACAGCCGCGAGAACAGCGAGAAGAAGCGTCCGGAGCGCTTGCCGCCCTCGGCGGACTCGGCGGCGGCAGAGGCGCCCTCTGACCCGACGGTGGCGGCCGGGCCGTCACTGCCGGCCGCGGCCACGGCGGTCACCAGCTGTCGACGAGGGGTCACAGATTGATCAGGTGGGTCCCGAGTGGGGTCACGAAGGGACAAGTGACCCGAGTGAGGCTTAAAGTGAATCTCGTTGCCGAGGGCGCAAAACAAGACGTCATTATTGTCACAGCATTGCTCAAACTGAGAAGGGACTCGATTATCGCAAAACTTTAACGCTTATGTGTAGCAAATCATAAAGTTGTTAATTGCTAACGTTTTTAATGCCTCTCATCTTTAATAAAAATGATCCTGGTCTACACCCTGTATTTTTGCACTGGGCTAAATTGTTTACGCGCTATGAATTTAACGAACTCTGCGGGGCGGGCCAGCATTTCTCAGACAACTCTCATAATGAAATTTCACGAATTGCCGGGATTTGAACTTACCAGCAGGGCGGCTGCGAGTCGGATTGGCTTCATGTCTGCAGCAGCTGCTCGGTGAGCTCTGGCTGCTGAATGGAAGCCGACGGCAGCTTATATACCGCGTCCTCTTCATGACCAGCCGCTGCCGCTGAACCGGCCGCGCCAGAAACGAGCTCAAAGTTGTCGCCGCCGGAGCTGCCGCTCTCACCCGCTGAGAATAGTGACATCGGCGGCGGCGGCGGCGATTTCGCGCTGCCAACAGGTTTGGTGACACACATATAACACCTTACCACCTCCGGTGGCACGCCGGGCGGTATCTCCGTAACCCCCCCCCCCCCTCCTCTGCCCCCCCCCCCCCTCATCACCCGACCCGGGGGGAGATCTCTCATACCGCTGCTTCCGCATTTCAGACGTTCTCAATGTGAGAGAAATGAAACTACGCAGACAACTACGCTCGATACGTGTTACGTGAACCGATATGCCTACCAATGATCGGATTGATAATATTCTGCCATGATTGCACTGGCTAATGGTTGTCGCGTGATAACCTTATTTGACGAACGAGGATAAGCCGAGTTTTAACAACGGCTGCGCAATCCAAAGACGCTGCAAAAACAACAGATGTGCAGACTCATCATCTTGAGAAACAATGCTTGGTAGTGATGAGCAAGCATAACTTAGCATGTGATAAAAGGTGCCCAGTTTGTGGATAGGCTATAGATTAACCCGCGCCCGGCTGGGGGTCCTGGATTTCCACGCCCTGCTGGGGGGTGTCTGAACACCCCCCTTCTAACTCGGCTCCTGCGCCACGTAGCGATACGCGGAAGGTGGCGTTCGAAAGAGCGTCAAAAATAATGACGAAATCACTTCGGTCAATTTTTTTTGGTCAGGTCAAAGGTCAGGTCACCAGAGGTCATTAAAGGCAAAATTTCGCCGATTTCCAGGTCGAATGTCGAAAATTTCCAAGATGCCAACGCATAACTCGGGAACCAATAGAGCTACAGCGCCGCGGAAAAGCGCATTCGATAGCCCTATTAACGCCCTTTCTGAGTAATTCCCTCAGATTTGACCTAACGTCAACGGTTTTGCCTGCAGGGGCAGTGGCGCAGCCAGGGGGGGTCAGAGGGTCAGCTGACCCCCCCGAAATTTCTGTCGGGGGCCCGCTCGAGAGAGAGAGAAAGAAAGAGAGAGAGAGAAAGAGAGAGAGAGAGAGAGAGAGAGAGAAAGAGAGAGAGAGAGAGAGAGAGAGAGAGAGAGAGAGAGAGAGAGAGAGAGAGAGAGAGAGAGAGAGAGAGAGAGAGAGAGAGAGAGAGAAAGAGAGAGGAGAGAGGTCCTAATCTAATTGGACGAGCCCGCTTCGAGAAATGCCTACTGGGACACCACGGGTGAGGGGTCGGCCTGGGGCTCCAGGTGGATGGGGCCCGGGCCCCCGGGAGAACGGGCCCGGGCCCCCTGGGTGGATGGGACCCGGGCCCCCGTGGACGGGGCCCGAACTCCCGGGAGAACGGGTCCGGGCCCCCGGATGAGAACGGGCCCGGGCCCCCAGGAGAACGGGCCCGGGCCCCGGGTGGATGGGGCCCGGGCCCCCGGGAGAACGGGTCCGGGGCCCCTGGTGGATGGGGCCCGGGACCCCCGGTGGATGGGGCCCGGGACCCCCAATGGATGGGCCCGAGCCCCCGGGAGAACGGACCCGGGCCCCTGGGTGGATGGGGCCCGGATCCCCGGATGGATGGGCCCGGACCCTTGGGAGAACGGGCCCTGGCCCCCTGGGTGGATGGGGCCCGGGCCCCCTGGTGGACGGGGTCCAGACCCCCGGGTGGATGGGGCCCGGGCCCCCGGGTGGATGGGGCTCGGGCCCCCGTGTGGATAGGGCCCGAGCCCTCGGATGAATGGGGCCCCCTAGGGTGACCCGCTTGCTCCGCAACGCGAATAATGGGTGTTTTCGATCGGTGGGCGTTTGGTTGGTCATGTGTCCATGGTTTATGTATCCATTTCGGTCGATTGCCTTTTGACGGGTAAGTATTTTGGTTTGGGAAAAAATATCCATCGCATCGAGGTGCTCGTGTCTGATAACCATGCGTTCTAATATAGAACATGCGAAGTATATTTTATAACATAGGTTGACGTAGGCTACCTATTGAAAAATTGAGGCCATCGATGAATTACTATGTAGAAGTTTGAAACGTTTATATTTTTAAGAATATTGTTGCTCTTCATGCAAAAGCGATGAATGGATATTGGACAAAATTGAATGCTCTTTTCAACTATGCCATTTTCAATTGTCAAACGTACCAGTTTATGCAGCAAAACCCGTGTAATTAAGTAGGTAAGTCATGAACAAATGCCATTTCCTTCAGCGATTTGTTCCACCTTGTTTTTGATCAATTAGCTTTTCACAATTTTTCCATGAGAGGCGGTACGTTTCTCTTGACAACAGGCATTGTTCGAACCCGCTCCGTCTGACAGTCACCCGAAAATAGCATTAAGTCCAAAATCCGTCCAAAAGTCAATTTTTCAAGCATAAGTGCGTTACCAGGTGCACGTGGCACGTGCCATCCCTGCACCGCACACCATTCGATAGCCCGTTCGATTATCATTTACGATACTGAGCTCCCCGTGCTGATCGGACCCACGGTTACCGAGATACTGCACGGGTACCGGACCCGTGTCGGGCAAATTTAGCTATTTTCGCCCGATTTTGCAAGCCGATTTATACATGTAAAGTCTATGACGCAAATGTACCTACACTTTTTGAGCACGCGCCATGTCCTCACCACCGGCCCGATTGAGCTGAGACCCCTCACAGGCACGTTGCCCATCCTTGTTCCATCGGTTGCGCAAACTTCAGCGCACTGGGTGCAACGGTCACTCTAGCCTATACCTACCCCGCGCTAAGTAACACCATGCCGGGACCACGGTAACATACATAATCTACGTCACCACATCATCACTGTATCGCGAAGTCACGATCAGCGATAAATCTCGACGCGCTGGCCGAATTTGGAAGTCGAATATCTCTGGCCGAAGATCTCTGAATATGTTCCCGCGAGTTTGGTTAAGGTTTATTTAGTTCACGGTGTTTTCCGTTTCGATATCGATTTGAATATTTGAATTTAGAACCTTGGCTGCAATGAAGTGAGTATCAAATTAAGTGTTTTTTGTTTGTTTAAATATTTGTATATTTTCAGTATACGTGTTTATATCGCCGTTTCCTTGACCTTACCATCAACCTCCTGTTTGTTTCAGGATGAAATTTTTTCTACTCTTGAACTTGACGTATATGTAGCTTGGTTTGTTTTCTTTTTAATAAAATTACATCGCATTGCAGTTACAAATACCTTGTTTACAACTTGAATTTGGCTAACAATACATTTCATCTTCAAGCCATAACGTAACAAACTTGAACATTAAGCTTTTCTTTCCTTTTCCTTGTTTTCATTGATGTGAAAAAAGTAAATTAGCAATTATTCATCATGAGCAAGCAAGAAGATCAGGCTTCGAGATTCCCGTTGGCTATGACGAAAGAAATACGAACGACTAAACAAGATCGAACCAACGCAAAACGAAAATTTACGAGAAAAACTATTGGTTTTCATGACATGATCGAAAACGATTGCCCATTTATTGCTATTAAGGATAAATTCGAAGATATCAAAGATGCATATCGGCAAGTTGAAAAATGCAATGATCTGGTCAACGCTGCGATAAACGAAACGGGACCACACCATTTAACCCTCGCCCTGGCAGGGGGAGGGGGTCGATGCGACCCCCCCCCCTAAGGTTTTTCGAAGATAGCGTAAAAACGGCGGCGCGCAGCGCCGACAAATTTGGCACAGCCTATGGGGCAGCCTTTTTTCATATGACCTGAAAATTTCAGGTCCGGGTGACCTTGGGTCAGGTCACCAGGTCAGAAAAACCGGTACAAGGTCATGGTCAAATTTCAATTTTCTTTTTGCACCTGTCCAACTCACAGTTTTGCACTGATTTCCTTCAAACTTTCAGGATATGCTAAGTTCACCGAGTTGTATAACATATAGTTCGGGTTTTTTGAGGTCACTGACCTGAGGTCAGTTAGAGGTCATTACGTCGTAATGTTAAGCCTATGGGAAAATACTAAATTCGGAAAATACTGGAGATATCCGCTTCGTTTTATCACTTTTGTGCTTTGAAACGACAGTACTTAACAGCAGGTCACTTGGTGCTTCTTTGTTTGGTGTACTTATCCATGGGTCAGGTCAAATGAGGTCAACTGAGGTCAAATGACGTTTTTGCCAATAACTTGGCACATAATGACGCTAGAGCTTAAAAAATGGTATCATTGTGTTCCTGGCGATCAGCCGAATCGAATGATATGCGATATGATGCAATTTGGTTAACTTGAACTTAATTTATTAATTTAAGTTTACTTAAAATTTAAGAAAAACTTTAAGTAGACTTAAGCAAGCTAAAAAGTATATCATTCGACGCGCCTTGACGTGCTGAGTTCACTGGTGCCTTTCTTTTTGCTCTATCTTAATTAGATGAAAAGTTATAAGCGAAAACCTTTGACCTGTTTTTAGCGAAATTTTTACATTTATACCCCCCAAAACCCCCCTAAATATTGACCTAGAGCAACCAAATTTGCACAGGGGCGAGAACTCTAGGGGGCCCACCTACCTACCAAATTTGGTGTTTCTAGGTGCCATAGGAGCCAATCGCGAGGGGGGGTCGCATCGACCCCCCCCTGCCAGGCCGTGTTATGAAAAATGCCCTGCCAGGGCGAGGGTTAATAGACAAATTATTAGATGAATGTGATGAATATATGATGGGTGTTGAGGCAAGCATGGATGAAATTCGAACAAAGTTTGCCATCAAGACAAAGGCTGAAAACATTAAAATTTCAGAAATTCACGTTAAACCTTTAGATGCACGCGTTTCTCGGGAAATATCAGACAATATACAAGTTTCAAGCAGGATTATCTTCGACTAATGACCAAACAGTTCGGTAAGGATTCTTATGCACTTCGACAATGCTTGTCAGGAGCTGCGCTGGAAACGGTGAAAGGCGTAGAAGATGATTACGAAGAGATGTTTCGGAGGTTAGATCTAAAATATGGAGAGACGAGAAAATTAGTCGATTCGATAATACTTGATATCAAAAGACTGAAGCCCATTCCAGAAGGCGAAAACAAAAGGTTTGTTTCCATGGTAGAAGTGGTGGAGCGCAGTTGGATGGAACTTCAAAGATTAGGCATGTCTCAAGAAATGGACACGACCACAATGGTCACCATGGTCGAAAAATTACTGCCAAGAACTCAAAAGCGGGAATGGGTAACAAAAATGGAAGAACTGAAAAATAGCAGTACAAATTGTGATTCTACCTTTCGTACTTTACTATCTTATTTAATACAAGAAAAAAGGGTCATCGAATATATGGACGACGACGTCCGAACTTATACCGGTACAAATTCAAAATATGTAAATTCAGCAATAAATAGTCTTCAAGTCAATCCGAGCGACTTGATATCTGCCGATACGAATCCCGATACGACAACCGATGCATCGCAAACAGATGTTGTGAAAATATGCAACCAAATTCAAAACATGACTGACCGAATGAAAACTCTGTTAAAAAACCCAAGCACGAGGAAATTTACAGGTAGCAAAAAGAAGAATAACATAGATATCGAGAATAGTCGCTGCTGGATCCACAAAACGGATTTTCACTCAATTTTCAAATGTAACGCTTTCCTCAATTCCACTCGCGAAGACAAATTGTGTACTCTACGACAAAATGGAGCATGCTTCAATTGTCTTCAACAGGGACATATAGCCTCATTATGCCCATACGAAAATCAATGTGAAAAACGGAATCCTTTGAATGAAAAATGTGGAAAACGTCACCACTCGTGTCTGCATTTTGAACGGCCTCCAAACGAAAGCAACGCATCCATACATTCAACTAGAAATAACAAGCGAAAATCAATGCTCGCGGTGAGCGGTGTTATTTGCAAGGACAAACGGCTGACAGTGATATGGGATTCAGGCGCCAATATATCTTTGATTACACATAAGGCTGCATCCCGGTTAAATTTATGCAGTGAAGAAGTTGAACTTTCAATTACAAAAGTCGGAAACCAGGTACAACTAAGCCTTCAACACGAAACGATATATTGTTCCTCTTATAGACGCGGACGATAAATGCTGGCAGGTCCATGCATATGGTATCGAAGACATTACGTCTGACATCGAGCAATGTGATCTGTCTTCCTTGTCATCAATTTTTAACGAACCAAGGGTGCAAGAAATCGAAAGGCCGCACGGAAGAGTTGACATGCTAATCAGCATCGACTGCTGTGTGCTGATGCCAGACGTAGTCGAAACGGTGGGCAGTCTACAGCTTCTTAACACGCGCACTGCAGGGGGGGGGGTTGTTTTCAACCCCCCCCCCCTGTGGTTTTTCGCAAATTGCGAGAAAACGGCGGCGCGTAGCGCCGCCAAATTTTGCATACCTGTTCTCACAACTTTTCCACACCATGAGTAAAAATTTTGACCCCAGGTGACCTATGGTCAGGTCACCAGGTCAGGTCAAGTGACCCTACCTCGAAACGTAAATTTCGAAGTTTGCAATCCCACCAAGCCCACAGTTGTTGAGATATGATCTTGAAACCCACAGGAAATAGTAAAGTCATCACGAGCTACAACTTGTATATCTCGGAATTTTTATATCGATGACCTAAGGTCAGGTCATTTTTGCGACCGGCCCATTATAAGTCAATGGGAGAAATTTCAACTTACTCTGAATGCCATCCTATGACTTCAATACGCTCAGGATCATAGTATTACAGGTCCCTGTTGGTGATTTCACCGAAACATATCACTTATGACCTTTGGAAGGTGATCTCCAGGTCATCTTAGGTCACCTGAGGTCACCAGCGGTTTTTCTTCAATAACTTGAGATTGAGTAGAGATAGAGACTCCGTTCGACGTTTATCGTGTTTTTCTCGTCAATGCGGATCGAATGATATGCAACATGACCTATTTCGGTCAGGTCATGACCTTGACCTGAGGTCAAATTTTCAACTTGACCTTTCGAGGTCATATTATATATCATTCGATGCGCCTTGACCAGCTAAGAACGATGGCGTTCGAATCGATCCTCTGTCTTGTGTGCAAGACAAGTTATTCAAGAAAAACTACCGCGAAATTCCTGTTGTGAAAATCGTAACATTTTGTCTTCGGTGACCTCTGGTGACCTCGTTTTTGACCTGACCCAAAAATGATCTTAGTATTTCTTGTCGATCTCATCTTAACCTATCCAACGCCGTTTATCGCTTGTCGCTACGTTGCGCCGTTTTCGAGATCTCAGGGGGGGTTGTTTTCAACCCCCCCCCCCCCTGCAGTTCGTGTTCGGCTCAGACCCGCTGCAGTGCGCGTGTTAAAAATCAGTTTGGTTACTGTATTCGCGGTTGCTACGATCCAATGGATAGTACTTCAACGCCCAAGACACAATCAGTAGAAATTGGTTGCGGGATAGTCGTGTCCGATATTAACAATATGAGGGCCGAATCAATGACAAGCTTAACAGAGAAATTAGACGAGTATTTTGTCATTGAAAATCTTGGCACACATTGTACACCACGCTGCGGCGGATGCAAATGCGGCAAATGTGCAATGGGTAGTAGCAGTTACACCTTGCAAGAGGAACGAGATGTTAAGGCCGCTGAAGCAAATTTAAGAGCCACTGAAAGAAGGCTGATCAAGATTGGCGCTCCACACGCAGAAGCATACAATGATCAAATGCAAGACATGCTTAGACGACAGGTAGCCAGAAAATTGTCGGAGAAGGAAATAGCAAGTTATGAAGGACCGGTGCATTATTTGCATCACCACGAAATACTCGGGCCAGATTCTGCGTCGACTCCATTGAGGATTGTATTCAATTCCTCAGCGTCTTTTATGGGCCACGTCCTCAACGATTATTGGGCGAAAGGTCCGGATGTGATAAATAACCTACTGGGTATTTTGCTGCGTTTTAGAGAAGAACAGGTTGGATTGGTTGCTGATATAAACACAATGTATAATTCCATCAAACTTGCTGAAATGGACCAACATGTACATCACTTCTTGTGGCGCAATATGGACATCCATCAAGAACCTGACCATCATATCTTATTAGCTGTTGCGTTTGGAGAAAGACCAGTGGAACTACCTCAATGGTTGCTCTAAAATCAATCGCCGAAATGCACAGAGATGAATCAGAAGAAGCTGCTGACGTGATAATCAAGAACAGTCACGTTGATGACTTGATTCAATCAGTTCCAAGCGTGGAGATGGCACTGCACTTAGCTCCAAGCGTGGAGATGGCACTGCACTTAGCTGAAAACGTGCAAAATATCCTACACAAGGGAGGTTTTGAGATCAAACACTGGAATTGGATAATGTCCGGAGATGATACTGGGGGCATCTGTCCCAGCATCCAAATCTTAAGCATTGACAAAGAGAAAATACTCGGCATGTGTTGGGTACCAAAGGGCGATCACTTTTTGTTCCAAGTCAGAATAAACGTTTCTGTGTCGAAGTGGAACAAAATGTCAGCCACTCCCGAATTAACAGAATCGAACATCGATGCTATTTTCCCTTTACGGCTTACCCGGCGAATGGTATTGACATTGAGCCAGGCGGCACGCCTATACGATCCATTCGGGTTGATCATACCAGTTACGTTGAAAGGAAAAATTCTCTTGCGAAATTTGGTCACACGACAGAGAACTGAAAATCAAGACGGCTCTTCAGCGATTGGATGGGATGATCCTATATCAGATCAAGACAGGATGGGTTGGAAGTTCTTTTTTTCTGGAACTACTCAAGTTGCAAGATGTGACATTCTCTCGTTGTTTGAAACCAAAGGAAGCGAAAGGAGACCCAATAGTAATCATATTTTCGGATGCCAGTATGCATGCGTACGGGGCATGCGCCTACGCCCGATGGGAGCTCGAAACGGGTCACTTTGAGGCTCGACTCATCGCAGCAAAAAATCGGATAGCTCCAACAAGACAGCTGACTGTTCCTCGATTGGAGCTTTGTGGGACAGTTCTTGGATGCCGACTACGAGAAGCCATTCACTCTGCGATACAAAAGCGAAGCGCAAGGTGCAAGGGGCATAAGATCTGGCAAATATACCGGCCAAGCAGACACAACTATCACAAGATCGGTGCATCGGCTAGTTCTCATACTAGAAGCCGAAAACCGCCACTATATGAGCGGCGGGGGGAGTGTATCGCGAAGTCACGATCAGCGATAAATCTCGACGCGCTGGCCGAATTTGGAAGTCGAATATCTCTGGCCGAAGATCTCTGAATATGTTCCCGCGAGTTTGGTTAAGGTTTATTTAGTTCACGGTGTTTTCCGTTTCGATATCGATTTGAATATTTGAATTTAGAACCTTGGCTGCAATGAAGTGAGTATCAAATTAGGTGTTTTTTGTTTGTTTAAATATTTGTATATTTACAGTATACGTGTTTATATCGCCGTTTCCTTACCATCAACCTCCTGTTTGTTTCAGGATGAAATTTTTTTCTACTCTTGAACTTGACGTATATGTAGCTTGGTTTGTTTTCTTTTGAATAAAATTACATCGCATTGCAGTTACAAATACCTTGTTTACAACTTGAATTTGGCTAACAATACAATCACACCACAACAAACCCGGCCCAAGGCAATACATGTCTCATGTGAGCGCGGCACTCGCCGGCACAGACCATTTTGCGTCCTTCGACGGCACAATTACGACCCCCCTCGCGTATGGCCCATGATCGAAATGTAGAGCTTCGCGGAAAACACGAGCGTGTTGCCCGTGACGAGAGGAAGCCGATGATCCCCAATTTAAAGGTCCTAGGTTAGGTCATTGGTTGACCTTCCAGGTCACAGGGCCTCCTCTAAGGATTTTTCACTGGGTGGGCAGAATTTTCGCTACTTCCCTGCCCAAGGGCGAATCCAGCCACTGTTTTGGGGTTCAACCAATTTCAAAACCTGTTACCGGGGGGGGGGGGGGATGAGGCGAAATAAGCAGTGCCGTTATTGGAAATACGATGATAGTTTGCAAAGTTAAAGGTAGTGTGCCAGCTTTCCTGGACCGTATGGAGTTAATGGCCCAGATAAGGAGAACCGGATTTTTAGAACTTATCCATACCTTCAAACTCATGGAAACGTCTTAAATTCTTCAAATTTTGAGTACCCCAGTGCGAAATTCGCCCCGACGGGTTGTCGGTCGTACCCCAACCACATTTCACACCACTATGAACAATAAATGCACACACTGAAATCGCTATTACCGATATGCTCATCCAATCAAGTTTCGATAAACCCGTTCATCATCATCTCCTGCGGTTTCGAACACGCCTGTTAGGTGGTGCGGTAGACCGCGCCCAAAGCCAGGGCCCCGGTAACGTGAGGTAGCCGAGTCGGGGCAGCGTGCGCTGACCCAAGCCGGGGCCGCGCGTCCTCCCGGTGTCATGTGATAGCCCGGGGGGATGCGGTAGACCGCGCCCAAAGCTGCGGCCCCGGCTTGGGTCAGCGCACGCTGCACCGACTCGGCTACCTCACGTTACCGGGGCCCTGGCTTTGGGCGCGGCTTCTGCTCATACTTTGTGGTGCGGTGGTGGTGCGTCGGGCCGCGCGCTCTGACTTCGGCCAAGAAAAATGCGTCAGCTGATCATTGTCATTTCTGCCACTTGCGTGTGGTGAAATGGGGTCATAACTTAAGAGACGGCTTTTTCATATCAATTATTTTACATAAAATCATATTTCAAACCATAAATAATGTTCGACAGCCAAATAAAAGAAACAATTCCAATACAGGCTTACAGTTTAAGGCTCGACATTGTGTTGTCTACGATTAGACAGCTGATAACTCATTCCCGTACGTCGTAACTCTATAATGACCTTTGCTTATTGTCACATGTGCGCCGCATTCGCGATTGTTGCCGACGCCTGTTTGCAGCTCAGCCCACTACAGTTGTTATACATATCGAAAAACCGATAAACTTTTAGGCGAAAAAGGCACTATTCCAGGCCCATTTTTGATTTTTGTTGCGATATTAGGTAAAAACAGAAGCTTCTTTTCCTAGGAAAAATAAAATGGGAAATCTTTCAAAGGTGGCACACTACCTTTAACGTTTGTCGTATGTTTTATGGTTATCGATGCTCGAGCGATTCGTTCCAGAGTTACATGTAGGTACAGCCCTCCGCAAACTGCGTGGTAGGTATTCTTATTCGGTATTCTTGCTATTTTGACAATGTACCAGTGCTATAGAACTCACGTTATCAACGAAAAACTCTGCCATTCAGTTGCCGCTAAACTAGTCCAATTTTCCCCTGAACTTGTACGGGGTTTGTGACCTGGTGACCTGACCTGAAAAGATCTGAAATTTTCAGGACAAGTGCCAAAAGGCTGCCCCAGAGGGTATGCCAAATTTGAGCGCCGCCGTTTTTACGTTATTTGTGAAAAACCTTAGGGCGGTGCATCAACCCCCCTCACCGGGCGAGGGCTAACTAACATAATACATTGTAGTAAAGAACCGGTAATGGTTCTTGCTTATTTGTTTAGCTCAGCCGTATTTAGAGATTTAGCTGGCTTTGTCCATGAATAACAATATCGGCAGGGGCGTAGCCAAGGGGGAGGGGCCACGGGGGCAATGGCCCCCTCCCTTGAGCGCAAAACGCGCCATGGGGGAGCCCCTCAGGCCCTGGGATATTTTTTTTCAAACACTGGATAAAACGTCTTTTACTCGGAAGCAGGGTTGTGCTTGACTCATGAGTCGAGTCAGAAATTTGACTCAACTCTGACTCAAATGAGTCAGATTTGAGTCGAGTCGGATAAAATGTTGAGCTGTTGAGTTGAGTCAGAGTTGAGTCGGACAAAAATATTAAGGTGTTGAGTTGAGTCAGAGTTGAGTCAGTAAAATAACTTTTGACATTGAGTTGAGTCAAAAACATTTAGGAACATGATTCAGCTGACTACACTTTCTAGAAACAATATATAGTATAATTTTTCATTCTCCCCCGCTCAACAACTTAGACCTGGCCCTGCTGCCGGATTTTTTCACCCCCCCCCCCCGCTCAACAACTTTTTTATCTGAGTCAATTTTGAGTCAACACACTTGACTCAACAAAAAATTTGAGTCAAGTTTGAGTCAACTCATATTTTCATTGAGCCGCTTGAGTCATGAGTCGAGTCAAGGGAAAAAATCAGCTCCTTGTTTGAGTCAGAGTTGAGTCAGGGCATTCTGAAGTTGAATGATGAGTCGAGTCGGCAAATTTTTTTGAGTCGAGCACAACCCTGCTCGGAAGAAAATTGATATCGAAGTTTCATTTCTGTGGCCCTTTGATGACCCAATGGGCCCCTGCACTCACCCGATGACCCCCGGTTTCCTGGGGCCCCTGGTCGCCTAGAGGGCCCCGGTCGCTTGGGGGCTAGTCGCATGGGGGCCCCTGGTCGCCTGGGGGCCTGGTCGCCTAGCCCCTGCCCCCTGGTCGCCTGGAAGAACGCTTGTCACCTGCAGTGGCATAGCCAAGGAGGGGGCCAAAGGGACCATGCCCCCCCCTGGAAGCCAGGGGTCCTTATTATATAGGGGCTCCTGGCTGACACAGTGGGCCCTTGGCGACGCAAAGGCCCCTGCGGCAGATCCTTTGACACAGCTGAGTAGTTATACTTTGGCCAAGAGAGCCCCAATTTTAGAGCCTTGGGGCCCTATTGAAACCAGGGGGTCAGTTGGATGGGATGGGTCCAACTTTGGTCCAACGGTGTGTAAACAGAATCAATGCGTTCCGACTGTTGGTCTGACCCTATATCGGTTTGAGGGAGCTCGGATCGGATCCACTGTCGATCTGAGGGGCCCCTATCGGTTTGAGGAAGCCCTCAAATGCCCTGAACGGGTCCTTAGTTTGTCTGAGAGAGCCCTCCGTCGGCATGACTGGGCCTCTGCAAGTGCAAAGAGGGCTTTTGTCGGTCTTAGTGGCCCTTAGGCGGCTTATATGACCCTCAGACGGCTTACGAGGCTCTCATGCGCTGTAGGGGCCTGTGACGGTCTGAAGAACCCTCATCCGACCTACGGGCCCTCAGACCGCCCTCAAAACCGACTGGCGACTCTATGAAGCTATTCGTGGGCCTATCTAACAGGGCCCATGGACTGCTTACCCCCTCAGTTCTAATATTTTTGTTAATAAATATTTTTCTATTTATTTGGGCCCCCTCCAAAAAATATTGGATCCAACCAGATGGCTTTTTGGATTTTGAGGGGGTTATTTTGGGCCCCTGTGCGTTTGGCCCCCTCCTTGAGGAAATTCTGACTACGCCCCTGAATATCGGGCAACCAGAAAACTTTTTTTTTGACCTTCAAACAGCATCCAGTTTGCTTAAGATCAGAAAGGTAGTACCGGACGTCCGGCCGGACCAGAATTTTTGCATTTGCTTCTGGGTGGGCAAATCGACGCCACTGGGTGGGCAATTGTGGTGACTGGGTGGGCATTTGCCCACCCAGTGGGTATGTTAGAGGAGGCCCTGCCAGGTCAGGTCAATGACCCAAAAGTCGGGAAAATCGGGACCTGTTAGAACGTCGTAAATTGTGGCTGCTATAGGGCTTTTTGGGGTGCTGATCACGAACATTATGTTAGTTTTGATCACAGATGATGTCTTTATGCATTTAGGCTAGGTCGGGTCAGGTCAGTTCAGGTCAGGTCCACCAGTAGGGATCGTGACGGGTATTCGTAGAACATACGTGTCAACCGCCTCTGACAGCTTCGTCACATGCTACGAAGGCACCAAAACTACTTAAATTTTCAAATAGTTGCTAAATTCGAATTCAGCTATACAAAAACTAGCCTAGAAACATGCATAGCTTGAAAAGGCCGTAGTGTAGGGGAGAGCGGGGTGAGTTGTATCATGGACAGGTAGTATCAGAGCGATTTTTGCGAAAACTATCCGTCAGATGGCAGGCTTGTCGCGACTATTTGAGACGCCACGCCGCGCGCCACCTTTCCGTGTTTTGACGTGAACAGGAGCGGACGTGTTTTCAGGTGAGTCCCAATAATGTGTTTTGATGGGTCCGTTGTAAGAAATGCGTTCTTTAGGAAATATATGTTTTTGACTTGAATATGTTGAAAGCTTTCTATTGTTTTACCATTATGCGTGAGTGTCAACATTGCTCTTAATCACAACATAATTCGTTTCGAGCAATGAAACATGGCGGATAGCGTTTCGCAGACCTTTTCTTGAAATGGCCCGCATGGACATGTTGTATCAGGGAGTGGTGGGAATAGTTGTATCAGTGATACAACTTATCCCACTAGTGATACAACTTATCTCAGGTTAAAACATTTTCCATTTCCGGTTTATACTTACATTAGACGGGTCGAAAATGGACTTAAAACAAGGTTGCAAATTGCGATAGATATATCGATAAGTTTTTATAGATAGTTAAGTCTTAGACGCTGCCTATACCTACCTAATTAAATTATATGTCCTGCCATGAAGGTGGATGCTTCCTTTCCCATACCTGCTACATTGCTGATTAAATCGAGACATCCAGGCATTTTAATGGCACGTGCACTGTACCACACTTTTCAAAGTTTAA